TCCTCTTCTTCCTCCTCCTCCCTATCTCACAAGAGCAATCCCTCCTCCTTCTCCCTTTTTTCTTCCTCCACCTTTCCTCCTCACTCTTCCCCGTAGCTCCTACTCCATCTTCCTACTAATCCTCTGTCATTTAACCCCCGCCCCCCTCTCTTTCTTCCTTTCATCTCCCTCCCTCTCTAGGCCATCCTTTCTCTTCCGTCCCTGTCTTATCACAGTCACTCAGTCCTTGGCTGCTGGCTGCCTCCCTCTCTTTCTCTCTCCCTCTCCCTCTTTCTCTCTCCCTCTCCCTCCCTCTCTCTTCCTCTCTCCATTTGCCTCGACCTTAGCCGCCCAGGATTGAGAGAGAATATGTAATTTTATCTGAGAAAAGCTGACAGCATTGTGTGTGTGTGTGTGTGTGTGTGTGAATGTTTTGCAGGTTCTGGAATTGCTCTATGGTATTAACCCTCTCTTGACTTTTCCTTCAGAGAGCATATTAAAGGGATGTGACACTCTTCTCGCTGTCATAATGAACAGATTTCTTTAAGTGGCCATTTTCATGCCTTGCTGAGTGTTTCTATTGCAACTCGTGGTGTCCCTCGCCTGTTTTAAATAAATGTATGCCTGTGCGTGTGTGCTTGCCAGCTGAATTTGTGTGTAAAGTTTGTTTGAAAGGAGGTTTTAATTACCCTCCCCGTGGGTTTAACACCTGTCAAACCCGACTTTCATCAGTTTGTTTGTCTGCTTTCTCTCTCCTCACTTTTTTCTCCCCCTTCACCAGTTTTTTTTTTTCCTTCAATAAACAGGGAATCGTATCATCACGTTTCATGGCACTGAGAGTCAATTCGGGTCATTCGTGGGTGAAACAGTTTATATTCACGTCTTTCACAGTTTTCAGTAACTCGGAGCTTCGTTTTGTAGAGTGTCTAATTCATAAAAGGAAGAAAAAAAAAAATTCAATGGTTAAAACTTCCCTTTGAATCCTCAATACTTAGGTGGGAGTTTCCACTGAAGCTTCTAATCCCTAGTCCTCAGAAATAATTAAACATCACTGCAGCGAGGAGCCCGTGGGATCGTACAAAATCTCAAGTCTCCCTCAGCCCACCTTTTTCTTAATTCTTTCCTGCTCCTCTATTTTTCAGCTCACTTTGCTTTTTTCTTTGTTTCCAACTTTCTCTCCCACTCCTCTTTCTGATGCTCCGCTTCCTCTCTGTTCCTTCATCCCACCTATGACTTCACCCTCATTTAAACCTGGCCTTAACATGCACCCCTTTTTTTTAGAGTGAGCAAAGTTACATAAAATCAAGCATGATATAATGATGGTCTACAGAAGTTATGCATCTTTGTGGGCAACTGGAAGTACGCTTTAAAGTTCCGGTGAACCGGCAGCAAATGTGATGCAATATTGTGCTGTAGAGGCCTGTTGGCATCCACCCACACCTCCCTTACTGTTAGCTCATCAGACTAACTGTGGTAGATCAGGAGGAGGATGACAAAGCAGATTGAATAATAATCATCTACGCTCTCTTTTCACCCTGAATCAAATTTTTTTTAGATACATTCAGGTCAAATGCAGATGAGACGTCAAAATATTTCAGTGTTAAGAAAATAATGAAATAGAAAAAAGAGGAATTTTTAAACATATTCAAAATATTAACACGTGGATTGAACAAGAAAGAGGAGCTTTACTGTCAGATAAAGGACAGAGAAATCCTATTTCATATTGGGTGTATTTTAATGTCAGGTCTAAGTGTATTTCAGCTGAGTCACCTCTACATGCACAACACAGACGTGACACTGAAGCTGATGCTAACTGCAGCCTTTGACTCCTCCCTCACAGCTGGTGGCGAGATCAGCTCCGCGTCTGTCAAGGGCCTCCACAGTCCAGAGGTGCAGGCTCGCCTGGAGAGCGGGCCCTGTGCCGCCGCTCACTCCCCGCTGGCCGAGCGCAACGGCTTCTTACAGCTGCGTCTCCACGGATACCAGGCAAGCTTCTTGATGTCCACGATGCGTAACCTGGCCCACTTCATGGAGGACGACTCTGCGCCGCAGGTGCTTCCGATGGAGATCAGCATCAGAGACACACACATCAACTTAAAGGTGAGAATTCCTTATGTTATTTTTTATATATATATATATATATATAATACTTCCTTTCTTTTATTCAGAGTTAAGAAGTTTTTGTTTCACCCTGAGGTTATTGTTGCAGAACTACTGTTTACCTGCAGGATTTCAGCACGATATTTGTCCTACTTTTTCCAATCATGTTGCGGTAATAGACCCCATAACTCACTGCTGTACAGCACAGTAGCTTCTATAACCAAGTCAAATATTTTGAGCCATGGCCTAATTGGAATTTGGATTTGAACTGAATGTTTAATGACATAGAAAGGCCTCTTTGCCTTCTCTCATGGGTTCCTTCATGGGTGAGTAGATTTCCTTTGGAACTCATGTGGAAACCTGAAAATGGATAATCCCCCCTTCACTCACTCTCACACACACACACACACACACACACGCTCACACACCTCAAAACTACCACGCTCAACATGTGCTGTCTCTGCTGCAGGACGACGGTCCCCGGGACAATCCCTCCGAGCCCTCGCCAATCACCCTGCATGTGGACAGTCTCATCATACACAGAAGAGACGACGGCTCCATCTCTATAGGAGGTGACAAACACACTACACATTTTCATCTGCCAGATATTTCTACTCTAGTAAAAACTAAATGGGAGGATCATTGATATTCTGATGAGGACACTGTAATTCATTACTCAGAGAAGAGATTACACAAAGTATAGCCTTTTTGCAGACAACACATTACTCCACAGCTTTTATGTGCCAAGTTAAATGTACACAATTTTATTTCTGCAGCTAGGGGGGGTCTCTCATGAAAACGATAACAAAAGACGGAGATTGCTGACTTTGTAAAGTAGCGTGGGATCATGGGAGTTGCTGTCTTCACCACCATTAACGTCATTGCAGTCAGCTTCCCCAGGTTAGGATTCCTTCAGGGTTCATAGTTCAGGAGGTTGTGCTAATCGGGAAGCTGAACTATCCGCAGTAGTCTCCTACTCTCGAAGGCAAATGAAGCCGGTAAAAACAGCGAAGTGTTTCTCTGACCGGCTGACAAAGGAAGTCCTGGGAGAGGCTGGCAGGCGATTTGCTGCTAACGTTAGCTCAGCTTGTTTCTCTGATAAGATCCAGACGTCCGATGAATAAAACTCTTCATCTGGCTAAATATATATAGTTGAAAACTAAGATCTTATCATAAAATTGTGGCTTAAAACTGAACTGAACTGTCATATACATATGTTTAAATAAAAAATCTAAAAAGAAAATATATGTGCCCATGTATATGTATATACTGTAAGTCAACACGTTCAAATAAAAAATATTTGAAGTCTGCCAGATATTTCCACCTCCACTTCAGCTCTGATTCACTGCAGTTATGTAACACGTCCTATTAAATGTCCTAATAAGTCCACGCTCGGTTCATCCACACCTTCAAATTCCCTGCTGTTGTCTCTGTTTCTCCTCACAGTGGACACGGCAGCGGAGACCAAACCCGGGAAAGAGGGCGCGTTGATTGACAGCACTCTGAGCCGGGTCCCTGAGGTCGTGGGCGTCTGCAGTGTACCGAAGTCTACACAGACCCAAGCCCCGCCCACCAGCCCTCCTCCATCCACCAGAGAAAAGGTGAGACGCACATGAAAGGATACTGTGTGTGGGGGTTTATGTTTATAGAAGTATACAGGCACAAACAAACACCTGCAGACAATCTTTAAAGTGAAGATTTCAGTGAATTGCATATTTTCTCTGTCTCTTTAGTTTTCCTCCCACAAACACAAACTACTGAACAAGAAAGGCTTTTTTTTTTTTTTTTACTGATCATTCTGGATGGAGTGCCAAATTTGGGTTTTCAAGCTATTCCAGTTTCCTGCTTGGCTTCTGTTTCTTCTACAGTGGGAGTGATATTCATCAATTTATGAAGAAAAAAAGAGTTATATTTTTAGATTTTCAGTGAATAGTTACATAATGATGTTTAAAAACCAACAAGTACTCCCATATAAACAACAAAACAGGTTGTTTGTCATTTAATTTCTTTTCTGCCACCTTTATAATTAAGGATTAGTAAGGTTTAGGCAACTAAAACTACTTGGCTAAAGCTGCAAACTTCCCCTCTGCTCAAAAAGAAGTTTCTCTTCTTGTTCTTACAGTTTGATCTTCACTGTGCAGAGTGATATTTGAGTAGAGTCTGACACTAGAAGGATGTTTTCACATTCATCTGCTGAAAGTGGAAAGTTTCTCTGTGCTCATTGAAAGTCAGATTTTTAAGGGGCAGGGCCTATGATTTGTGTCATCACAAATAGTCTTGAAGTCAATCCTGGTCCAGTATGAAGTGTGGTGTAGAAACTTGAACCCACAAACACTGAGAATGGACTTTACTGTGTTGGAAACATCTTGTGTCCAGCAGGAAAACTTTGCATATTCATAGATTGTGGAAGTTTTAATGAGGTAGAAGGAGTAGATAGAAGCAGATTATTTGTATACATGTCTTTTTTCATGTCCGGAGGAACATGAGAACTCGAATGTTTACTGTCAGAAAGAAATGGGATGCCAACGTGATCTTTTTATGCTAAACTTTTCACCCTGATTTCTTCCCTCAGAGGTTTTAAAGAAGTTTAACAACAACATGCTGTGTTTGAACAAACTACCACTGCTTTTTAAGAGGGTTTTGAGAGCTGAGCAGACTGTTGAAGGCTGCAAGATGAGGCTGAAAGCTCCAAAAAGTCAACCTTGTGCCTTCATCAAACACACACACACTGACACACGCCTCCCTGTGGCCCTTCTTTGTTGTTTGCTTACAGATGCTGGTGGAGGAAAACGAATGTTTGAAAGTGGAGCTGTCTCGAGCCAAGATGGCGCTGGCCGAGGCTCAGATGGAGAAGGACTCGCTGCTGCACCGCATGAAGAACCTCAAAGTCAACACCAGCTAGACCCGGCTCTCTCTCTCTCTTTCTCTTCACACCAAGCCAGTCAAGTCATTCAGCCCCCCCACTGGTCTGCAGTTATAAGGCCTGAGGGGTCGAGGGTCCGCAACTTAATTAAAGGCAACATCAACAAGTGAAGGAAAAAAAAGGGGGAGGCATTTCTCGACTAAAACTGCTCCCTTTACACGCTTATTTGTTGAGTGAGCCACCACGTGACTATAGACTTCAAAATAATTCCTTCATAAAGCAATGCAGAGTCTGTGGAGACTCAAAAATACATGTTTTTACACGCTTGTCGTCTGTTTTATGTTCTCCACTTTGGACTGTGGAGGCTCGATTATATTCGGAGAGAGTTGAAAAGGGAGAAGTGACATTTAGTGGGTGTGTGTGTGTGTGTGTTTGTTTGTGTGTTTGTGTGTGTGTGTGAAAGAAAGAGGATCTATATACATGGTTGTGCCTACAGGACAGCCTTCCTACACTATTCCTGTTGTGTAAGTTGAAACAAAAAATAAAGAAATCACAGCTAATCTTAGACGAGCTTCATTCGACCCTGTAGGTATAAAGGAAAACTGAATGTCTGTATCTTCAGAGGAATGTCTAAAAAAAAAAGACTTATTTTGCACTGCACTGAAATCAAACTTTAGTGCTTTCATATTCGGGGCGAGGACGAGACAAATCATTCTCTCACTCGTCCTCGGGAGTGTGTACAGTGTATATTGTATAAGAATGTGAGCACATGACTATTTTCTTCAGAACATTGAATATGCAGTGTTTCAGTTGAATGTGTGTGTTTGTCTCAGCCAGAACAAGCATTTCATTACAAGTAGAGGATAAATTTATATCTGTCAGTTCCACGGCTTTGTCAGCAAAATGCCCCACAGTAATGTCTGTACCCCCCAACCACTGCCCACCCCCGCATCCCCTTCCCTCCTATTTTTCTATGTGTAAATAGCTACTTAACATGTGCAGCACTTTTGAAACTGAGGCACTGTAAATTTAACAATTAGAACTGTGAGCGAACAAGCCGACGAGCGGAGAGAGGGTGGATTTAGAAAAGTATCTCATCTCTTCTGAAAAAGAGGAGTAGGAAAATAAAGGCACATTAAAGCTGCCTGACTACATATATATGTGTGTGTGCGTGTTTGTGTGTGTGTCTTTAAGTAAATTTCTAATCTGCCATGTGTAATTTTTTTCATGGACACGCGTTGAACGTCTCTGCTGCTGATCCATGCTTTCATGCCTGTGTGACGACTTCAGGGTGAAAACCCACTCCTGAGTAGATGTTTAAAAACGACTAAAATATGACTGACTTTTCTAACAGCACATGCTTTGGCACAGCACAAAAAAGACTATAAAAGGACAGTTTGAGGTCTCAAAAGGTTGCTCTCACACTTCACAGTGGATTCAAGTACATCCATCAGTCTACATATGCAACTGTCATAATAACCTGTACTTTTCCAGTTCATTTCAGTTCTTAAAATTCAAAAAAATGTCATGGTGAAACACATGTAGTTCTCTGCACAAATGTGGTGTCAAGACTTGAAATGTCAGAGGTAGGATTTTAACACGATTGTATGTTTTCTTCTTCATCTGTTTTTCCTCCATTCATCACAGCCCTCCTCCTCCTCCTCTCCTTCCTCCTCCTTTCCTTCCTCCTCCTCCCGTTTCTGGGAAACTCTGAAACCCTGTGGAGGAAGAAAAGACACAAAAAGTAATAAGTTGTATTTTGTCTGTCAAAGCTGCTGAAATACTGATGAAAATAAAAGGGTATCCAATTTAGGTTTCACCTTTTTGTGTGTTTTTGGTGCGGGTTTATTTGCAAACATGTTAACTTCTTTCAAATATATCCCCGCTCCTACATTTTACAACTTTCAACAGTTAGTGTTCCTACACATCCTGGAAAACCTGAATATTTAGAGACTTGTTTTCCAGTCATTAAAACACCTGGATATGTATTAAAATGACCAAATATTCTGGAAATTATTGATGTTGTCCTGGAAAATGTTAATTGTATTTTATAAAGGTTTTATAGACAAACATGTTTATATTTCTCAGTAAGTTATGAAAAAAAGCACTATTTAAGCAGCAATACTGACACTAGTATAGAAAAATGGTACCCAGCATAACCAGTATTTATCAGAACTGGGTTGAGGTTGCTATAAATTGCCATTTTGGAGTGATTTTAAACACTCTAAAGACGCCATGTAACTCGTAAATGAAGGGCTTTTACCAGTGTGAACTAAAAGCATTGCAGCAAATGTTGACACACTTGAGGACATTTATCAGATTTCATCCTCAGTATAACCCATGACGTCGTGCAGCTCCCTTCAGAGCCACAACAAGCTTATAGCACATATGATATAGTGTTCCTCCAGACCTGTCAACTGACTTTAATGTGAAAAATCAGCAGAATTCCCCTAAAATATCGTTTCATGGTCACAGGAGTGCACGTTACCACAATACAAGGCGTAGCAAATAATAAACGCTTAAGGAGACGTAGTCAACAATAAACAGGGACTCAGAAATGGTCCCGAGTGGAGGTCCCACATGACAAGAGTTTGAGTAAACGCAGATATTCATATGATGTTCAAGTGGAAAAACATCATCTGGTCCCCAGAAGGATATATATAGTGCTGTAAGAAGAGGAAAAACACATTTATATCCACTGAAAAGTAATTATAAAAGATGTACAAGCGTTTTTAATTAATTGCTGTTTAATTCATATATGTTTTTTCTTGGTTAAAATCTGTAGAAATGTTCTGACAGATGTAAAAGCTCCTACATCATCGTTTTTTTGGTATCTTGTTTAAAAAACTTGTAGCACGAGTTCATTTTATGCAGCATTTATTTGAAATTAATTAGAAAAATGGTGTTAAAGTTTTGTTTCTGTGACAAGTGGAGGAAGGACCCAGACAAACTGTGTAAAGGCAGCCTCAAATGAGCTGCACTCAACTGCTGCAGGAAAGTGTGTTTGGACTTTGTGCACATAAATGGTCATGACATTTTACGGCTGGAGTAGTGTAGTGAGTCATAGAAGGGCATTAAGTGTGCGAGTGTGTGTGTGTGTGTCTGTGCCTGTGAGTGTGTGTGTGAGGGAGAAAAATCTTTTTCTTTTGCTCTGCTGCTTTTGACATGACAGCCTGTTTACATACTGTAGCTTAATGTTTCTGTGATGATGGCAGGTCCTTTTAATGTAAACAAAGCCATGTACACATACAGTGTGTGTGTGTGTGTGTGTGCGAGATAGTGGAGGAATGGGAGCCTGCACCATTACATGTACAGCTGGATTGTGGGAAATATGATGTACGAGAAAAAGCAGCTAAATAGAATTCAGCCATTGTAAATGTTATTATCTACACCTGAGCTTTGACTATTGTGTCTATTAAGTCAGAGTCTGTCCACATCAGGAGGAGATCTCAACTCTTTTTATTAGATCATTTGAGCAGTGAGAACCAGACGGAGGGTGTGTAAGTGACATTTTGGGTGGAAATGAGTTAAATAAAAAACTCTTGATGAGCTCCGTCTACCGGCTAAAAGGGCACATGTGAATTCTAAAGCAGTCCGGAGTTAATAATCAAAAAGACCTGATACTGAACATTCAAAATATTATGAATATATATCATATAAAAAGGCAAAATATAGTTTTGTCTCACCTGTAAAGTTGGTCAAATGTCACACAGGTGTTACAGTATATACAATGTGTGTCTGATGTGTTAAATATGCAATAAAAAAGTATAATTTACACATTTAAATCAATTAAAAAAGCACCTACTCATGCAACTAAAACTTTCAGAATCTATGAATATGCTAATTTATTTTATTAATTTATTAAGTTTTCCTGCTGGACACAAAATCTCCAGCAAACCGGACCAGTAAAACTACATTTTCCCCTATAAATTAACATAAAAGAAAAGACAATTTACACACATTTTTGAGATTTTATAAATTACATTATTATTAGACTTATTGCTAAAAATAACCATATTAATTGTTAATGAAAATAATCAGTAATTGCAGCACTATATTTAATTATACGCCTGCTTTCAGTCTCTTTAGTCCTTCACTGTAGCACAGAAAAGGCTCCATAATGCGTCAATTTTCTATTTTTTAAGCACAAATGCGTCTCAAATATGAATATTTGCATCTTTTCTCTGTTTCATATGTCTGTAAACTGAATATGTTTGTGTTTTGGACTGTTGGTCAGACAAAGCAATTTCCCAGCTTGGGATCAATAAAGTCTATCTATCTATATTATCTATCTATCTATCTATCTTATCTATCTATCTATCTATGTAAGCAAGACAATAAAATAGGCATTCATCACTACTTTCTGACATGTTATGGACCAAAAAAAGGATGAATCAATTCCAGAAAATAATCAGCAGGTCAATCAATAAAGAAAATAATCCAGAAAGTCACTTTAACCTGTAACACAAGTGGGACATTGTGGCTGTAAGGTGAAGCACCTGAAGGCAGCACGTCTCCCCAAATTCCAATTAGGCTGCAGAGTGAAACCATCAGGGCAGGTCCCAGCATGCACCGGGGGTGTGTCTGTTTCCCAGGCTGTCAGTGGACAGATCTGAGCACATAAAAAACCCATCTTCTCCCTTCATTCACCATTCATACAGACAGGGAGGCTATTTTTAGGATCTCACCTGTTTTCCAAATCCAACACACCTCCAAGGGTGGATGGGGGAGCTGCGCATGCGCGTGTTTAATAAGAAGAAGTGAATGGTCAACATCTGGCACAGCTGGGAGGGTTTGAGTGGGACTTTTTTTTAACAAAAGGCATCGCCTCCTGTTGGTGTTGTAGCATCGTCATCCACGCCCAGACTGTACCGTAAGTCTGTCAGTCAAGTCAGATTGAATAAAAGCAGAAGTGGGATGCTTTGCTTTCAAAATAAAATGTTTAGTTCTGCACAAGGAGACTCCAGGACAAGTTGTTTTTGTTTTTGTTTTTTTATGTGGGATAAATAACCCAAAAATATATACACATTGGCTACATAATATATGCATAATATTAGAGTCAGATATTAGTTGCCTTTATTTCCAAACATGTGTTTATTGGTAAAAGTGTGCAAAAATAATATTCAATGGTTTGTTCAAATTTAATTTAATGTTTTGTGGGAATATGCACAACTATCACACATTTTTACAACATTAAATGGACCCTGACCTGATCTCGAAAGGGTCCTTCTGTCGAAACCATCAAAATATAACAAGCAAAGAAGTATAAAAACATGTATATGCACATAAAATTAACACATGTTTTGGGGATTACATATTGTATACCCTTTTTCAATGAATTTCACCCATTAAATCTGGGACCCCAACATAGTATTCCAGCATAAAAACTACATATTTCTATTCTATAAGTCACAAATTTACCTTTAATACAGGGATAGTGATGGAAAATCTGTTTATCACTACTCACCTTTCTTTATTTAGCATCTTTCATACAAACATGCAGCCCAAAGTGATTCACATAGCAAATTAAAACAACACGTAAAAACAAAATAAAATTGCGCAAGACAAAATTTGAATAAAATAAAAACAATCAAATGTAAAACATTGTAGAAATAACACAATAAAATAAATAAAAATGAAAGAGTAAAACCTAAAAACTAACAATACTCCAAAGTAAAAGCCATATAAAAAAAAGTTAGGTTTTTAAAAAAAGAGATGTTACATTCTTATGTAATAATATTTTGATTATAAATTTACACTAACAAATGTAGATTTTATTTTAAAGTTGCCCCATTGAATATAAGGTTTTATTTAAATCAATGAGACAAAGTGCCTTTGACTCTCTGAATTATATATTTTATCTTGATTAAATCCCCTTTTAATTAATAATTTATTTAAATAATTTATTATAAAATTAATTATAATCTATATTTTAGATTTTTGTTGTTGTTGTTGTTATTTTGCTCTCATAGGACATGAAGACAAGAAAAAAAAGAAACAAAGAACAATATAAAAAGCCACCAACAAAATGCTCCTGCGACCTATTTTTTACTTTTCCAACGTCCAAGTTTCCAAGTTTGTTCAACTCCTAACACATCGGGGCAAAGTTACGGTTTTATTTTGAAAGCTGTAACAGGAAGTCCACCGTTTTACCCCGGCTAACTTAACCCCCCCCCCCAGTCTCAGGCGACACCGAGAAGCGCCGGGCAGTGCGGTAGCTTTCTGGGGTAGAGAGGTGGCGAGTGCAGCGGGACCGGAGAGCTCGTTGTGGAGGCGGACCTTGTTCAACCTGCAGCCCCGTATCAGCTGGGGCTTTAAAGGAGTGCGGGGGGGGGGGGCAAGAGCGTCTGTTCGGACAAAGAAGGAGTTTGTATGTTTCTTTCTTTCTTTTTTAAAAAAAAAAAGGGTTCACTGTTTTACTTCACACTAAAGGGATTCGCTTCGGAGCCCCAGGTTTCCCCACCTACCTACCACCCCCGCTGCGCCTGTTTGCACTGGGGGTTTGTTTTTACACTGGGGGAGGTTATAAGGCACCGGGGGGAGCAGTGCACGTCCAAAACCTGCGCTGCAGCATCAATAACACCTATAGCACCGTGCAGCAGCAGCAGCAGCAAGCAGCAGCAAGCATGCAGTGAGAGGAAATCCTTTCAGATGCTTTCCCACCTCAGACAGTGAAAGCAAAAAAACGGGGGTCGGAGGGGAGGAGGATATATGGGAGATTTGTTGGATATTCATCACCCCGTCGTTGCAAAAACTTGTGTCCGGGATGGGGAAAGAACAGGAGCTGCTGGAAGCCGCCCGGACCGGGAATGTCGCCCTTGTGGAGAAATTATTGAGTGGGAAGAAGGGGATACTGGGGTCAGGCTCCGGCTCCATCCCTCTGCCCAACCTACTGAGGTAAGCAGCCGCTCTCATCTCCTTCTCATGACCGCTAAAGCGTCCTGGGAGCCCCCCTGGGGTGCTCCTGGGGGGATTCCCATGCTGCAAAATGAGGCATAATTCAGCTTTCCTCATTGGTTAATGCACTAGAAATGAGCCACGGAGCCACTACAACAGTCCCAGCTGCAGTAAGAGCACAATATATATATATTTAGTGCTGTATCAGCTGCACATTTCCTTCCACATGGTGTCCCTGAGATAAAAAGACACACCATAAAATGCACTCAATTTGTGTTTTGAAGAGCTGTGTGCAGGGTTGCAACATGCTGCATTACACAGGAGAGAGAAGAAAGAAAAGGAACTCTGTTATGCAAACTCAAAGAGTTTTTGTGAAGCAAATCACACTTAAAAAAAAAAAAAGGGCAGATAGCATAGCTACAGGCCAAATATACTATCAGTACATCACTGAAAGGTTAGTCATCTCCTGTCCTCTGTGGGTTGCCAGTGTCGCTTTGAGTGCTGCGATGCTCGCCCAGCACAAAGAGAAAAGAACAGGCAGTACCTTCAGCTCCTCGACACTTGACAGCTGTCAAAATGTTGATTACTTGAACAGGAGTGTGATTGCTGGATGATGGAGGCATTTTGTCTCGACTCTAGTTTGTGCTTTGTGCTTATTTCTTGTTGTAAGAAAACCCTTGTATATATGCAAGGAGTCTGTTGTGTATTTGTAGTGACTGTGCTGACATTTAAGGTGTTCTTGGACGTCGCTGTGGTGTTTTTGTGCTGCACTTTGTCTGCTCACATGATGCCACTGAGGCCTGACGTGCAGGAAGTCCAACACAGTCAACAAATGTGCATTTCCTGAAAATATGATGTGTGGATTTGGCTCAAATTGGCAGATTTTTGAGTTTTTAAATCACTTGCATTGCTTCCAGTTGCTGTTTGAGAGACAGGTATGTGAGGGAACATTGCTTATGTCAACAGGTTAACAGGTGGCAGAGTGTTCGATTGCTTTAGATTTCACCATATCGCTTTGATTAGGAGATAAATTAGCCATTATTTTTAGTATCTGGTGATGTGACTGTGTAGAGCCGTTTGAAAAATGAGCTCCTAAACTGGTAAAAGATTACAAAATGTTCACATTCGAGACCCACTCGAAGCCTCTTTTCCTTTCCAAAACTCAAACCACAAAAGGCTTCAATCTGGCTTCGAACAACTGCTGAGGATATTATTGTCCCCCCCTTCCTCCTCCTCCTCCTCCTCCTCCTCCCACCCCTGCAAGAACTCACCCTCCTCTCTGCTGAGGCTGAGCCAGGTGATTAGGAGATCAAAGGCTTGGGGGGCGTCGGGAGGAGTACCGCCTTCGGGCCCATCGGAGTAGAGAGGCGTCTCACGACCGGGCGAGGTCGCACTCTGGCAGGGAGGACGCCAGCACTAGCACCACTGAGCCCAGGTGCTTCTGAAACCAGGGGAGGACTCCTGGAAAGGGCAAGAACTGAATCTGTTTAAGCTTAATTTAAAACAACCTTTAATTCACTGGAAGTTTGAAAAAATGCAGTTTCTGATCAGAGGCTTCCCCCTCGTCCAAACGTGAAGCAGGCTTCAGGCTTTCTTTGAGTTTGTCTGACGTTACAGCAGATTGATTGTTAATCCTCTGTGAGTATACATCTGATTGAAACAGCAAGGAAGAGTAAGAAAAAGCAAAATCAGGTTCACCACCGGCTGCAACAAGAGTGGTTTGAGATGTGGTGAATCGACGCCCACGTTTTAATTATGTCTGCTTGTTTCTGTTCATCTTTTTCAGTTTCCTCTTTGAGGTAATAAAAAGTTAACTGAAGTCGCTTTGCATGCAGAAGTAGGCTTGCTGCGTAAAAGCTGTGCCCCAATTCCATATTGCTACATGCTACTTGTGTACAGTAGTGTTTACTAATTGTCCTTCAATTAGCCGTGTTAGCGGTGGTGGCTTTAGGGATGTTGGTCGGTCCACCACTTTGTTCCAGGACTGAAATAT